AATTTCCTATTCTAGCACCCTTTCTAATAAGGTGCGCTACGTGAAACGCGTCTTTGCTTAGGTGGGCTAAAGACGCGTTCCTCGAAGTGCGCCTTCCAAGGGAAATGTTGACATGACGTCACGTGAGAAGGCGTGTTTCAAGGGGCACACCTTCGAAGGTCCATATATCCCTCAAAGCATTTTAAAAATATATGCTTTAGAAAAATTAAAAATAAAACTATAGGGATTAACATCGTAATTTAAGTTATATTAGTTCCATGAGTTGAAGAAGTTAATGGGATTAGTTTATATAGCATATTGGAGTAATAAAAGTTAAAAGATGTATTCCTTAGCTTTTTTATCTCTATATCTAATGAATCTAATTATACACTATTGTTAAATTACATTAGGTTAATATTTATTAATATTAGATATTTTTATATGTTAATATATTTAAATACTTATTTTTTAATTATGAGTTCAAAAAATTTATGTAACATAAATTAAAAATATTTCATTGACATATAAATGTATTATTTATTGAATATGATTAATTAAATATATAACTTAAGTTGAATCTAATATAAAAATATGAAAAAAATATTGTTTGATGCCATGAACATGTAAAATGTGAGTTTTATATAGAAATTTGTCAAGAAACATAATAAAAAAGTACTAGATACTAAATTACCTTTTGAAGTTGATACATATCAATTAGAAAGCAGTTCGTAGTCTTTTCAACACAATAAGTTGATGTTTATGTTGAAAGTTTTAACAATATAAACCTTAGTAATAAATATTTATTATTAAGGTTTATACTAAATTAACTTTTGAAGCTAATATATATCAATTAGAAAGCAATTTGCAATTTTTTCAATTCAGGTGGACTCGCAAGCTCCTTCGGGATCTCTCCTTTAAAATTGTTGAAGCTCAGATACCTAATCAATTTTCTGGTTAGTAGGAAGCAATAATCCTGATTATCATAACGTGAAAAAAATAATTCCATGTGTTTCTTACAAATGTGTTAAACTCTTAAGCTCTCCAATTTCAGAAGGAATAACATCGTGTAGCTTATTCAATCTCAAATTACTACAGCAAAACATATAATTAAATAAATTACATGAAAATTATCCATTATCTCATAATATAGATTTAAAAAAAGAACATATAGTATTATAAGGCGTTTGAGCCACCCGAATATAATTAATATTATATTCGATCTTACATGAGTATACAGTTTCCTCTTTAATATATATCAACTTCAATCAAAAGTTAATTTAGTATAAACCTTAATAATAAATATCAACATAATGTAATTATTTAAATATATTAACATATAAAAATATCTAATCTTAATTAATATAAATCTTAATAATAAATATTAACCTAATATAATTTAACAATAGTGTATAAGTAGATTCATTAGATATAGAGATAAAAAAAGTTAAGGAATATACATTTTAGCTTTTATCTCACATTGTCAAGAAACATAACATAAATACCCTAATATACCTATATAAATTAACCTCATTAAGCTCTTTAACTCATGAAACTAATATGTATTAAATTATGATGTTAGTCCCTGTAGTTTTATTTTTTATTTTTTATTTTTTAAAGTATATTTTTTAAAAAATATTTTAATGATGATATGAACCCTAGAAGACATGCTCTTAAAAAATGTCTTCCCACGTGGTATCATGTTAATATTTTCCTTGGAAGATTCGTTTTAGGAAATGTGCCTTCAGACCACCCTTATAAAAAATGGTGCTAAATTGATAAAATATAGAGAAACGATGCATGACAGGTAATATTATAATATTTAAGTGATTTATAGATAAAAATGGTGGTGAATTAACCAAATAAAAAAAGGGTAAACTACACGGGAGACCACTAAACTATGATCAAAAATCAATATGACCACCGAACTTTCAATTGAATCAATCAGATCACCCAACTATTTAATTGATTCAATCAAACCACCAAATGTTAATTTTTAACAGAGGTGATGGCGTGACCGTTAAGCTTAATTGGCATAATTATATATTTTGTCATTAATATTTACATATTCTATCAATTTAGTAACTATTTTAATTTAATTAAATAAATTTAACTATCCAATTAGAACGTAACACGTGTCAATATATGATTGGAAGGTTTTATTTATGAATTTTAAATTATTTAATTTAATATTTTTCTATCCAATTGAAATGAAAATAAAGGGATAATTTTATGCTTAAGGGGAGAATCGAACCAAGAACTTTTGGGGGATAAAGCAAGCGTCCAAACTATTGGGCCAAAAGTCCCTAATGGTTTAAAATTACAACAATTTGTTTTTGACTTGTAAAATTTGGTTAATGATAAAAATTAAACAAATTATTTGTTAAAACAAATTATTATTTAAATTAATTGTAAACTGTTTTTTTTAATTAAAAATATTAAATTTTTATATAAATTATAAAATTTAAAAAATTTCGTTAAATCTAAAATTGATCGAATTAACCGAAATTTGTTCGATTCGGTTAATAATTTTCAAATAAATTTCAGTTAATGGTTAAAGAAAAAAAATTCGATTTGGTTAATAATTTTCAAATTAATTCGGTTCGGTTAATAATTTTTAAATAAATTTTGGTTCAATTAACCGAACCAAATTAACCAAATTTTTTCTTCGATTAATTTGATTAATAATTTTAAAAAAAAAATGGTTACTTCAGTTTGGTTAATAATTTTCAAATTAATTCAGTTCGGTTAATAATTTTTTAAATAAATTTTGGTTCGATTAATGGTTAAAGAAAAAAATTTGATTAATTCAGTTCGGTTAATAATTTTTAAATTAATTCAGTTTGATTAATAATTTTCAAATAAATTTTGGTTCGATTAACCGAACTGAATTTTGTCTTCGATTAATTCGATTAATAATTTAAAAAAATCGATTAATTTGGTTCGGTTAATAATTTTCAAATTAATTCGATTTAGTTAATAATTTTCAAATAAATTTTGGTTCGATTAACCGAATCGAATTAACTAAATTTTTTATTCGATTAATTCATTTAATATTTTTCAAAAAATTCGGTTAATTCGGTTCGGCTAATAATTTTCAAATTATTTCAGTTCGGTTAATAATTTTTAAATAAATTTTGGTTCGATTAACCGAACCGAAATAACCAAATTTTTTCTTCGATTAATTCGGTTAATGCTTTTATAAAAAATTCGGTTAATTCAGTTCGGTTAATAATTTTCAAATTAATCCAGTTCGGTTAATAATTTTTAAATAAATTTTTGTTCGATTAACCGAACCGAATTAATCAAATTTTTGTGTCGATTAATTTGGTTAATAATTTTCAAAAAAGTTTTGGTTAATAATTTTCAAATAAATTTTGGTTGGATTAACCGAACCGAATTAATCAAATTTTTTTCTTTAACCGTTAATCGAACCAAAATTTATTTGAAAATTATTAGTCGTGAATAATTTATTTAATTTTTTAATAATTTGTTTTAATAAATAATTTGTTTTATTTTTTACCATTAACAAACTTTTACAAGTCAAATACAAATTGTTGTAACATTAAATCATTGAGGACTTTTAGTCCAATGGTTTGGGTGTCTGCTCTATCCTCCCTAAGCCCCTAGTTTGATTCCCCATTGAGCACAAAATTATCCCTTTATTTTTATTTTAATTAGTGTCACCACCTGATTGAATAAAAAATTATTTAATTAAATAATTTAAAATTCATAAATAAAATCTTCTAATCATATATTGACACATGTCACATTCTAATTGGATAGTTAAATTTATTTAATTGAATTAAAATAGTGACTAAATTGATAGAGTATGTAAATATTAAGGACTAAATATATAATTATGCCAATTAAGCTTAACGGACACGTTACCACCTCTGTTAAAAATTAACGGCCGGTGGTTTGATTGAATAAATTAAATAGTTGAGTGATCTGATTGATTCAATTGAAAGTTTGGTGGTCACATTAATTTTTGACTATAGTTTAGTATCTCCCGTGCAGTTTACCCTAAAAAAACAAATGGGAAAAGAAGAAAAAGAAAGATCGTTAAAGAAGACGCGTTAGCGTGTGGCCTCTTCCTTTCAATCAATCTGTCACCAGCTCATCAAACCTCAGTAGTAATATTCTAACACAACACATACCAGGCTATTTTCGTCATATCAGATATCTGCACTAAGAGTCAAGAAAAATTGACTGAACCAAATTGAAATATTTGAACTGTTAATATAAGTTTAAATATCCTGATTAACTGATTTGAATTAAGTTTAATATTTTCTTTAATTTATAATTAATATTTTACAATAGAAGTAAATGTTTTATATTTTAAATAATAAATTAATTAAAATTTTAAAAAGTTTTCTTCATCTAATTTTTTATATCCTTCTATGTCATTCTAAATAAAATAAAAAATAGAATTTAAAAAATATAATAAATGTATTAAACCGAACAATTTCATCCTTCCATGTCATTAAAAAAATGAAAAACAAAATAATCTTACTCAGTTGATTATTAATATTGTCTTACTGATCTCTTAGAATTTATTATTGTTATAAATCTATACATAAATAAACAAATCGTATTTCTCCTTAAAATTAAGGGTACACTATACTTTTAGTAACTAAACTTTTACTTTTATTCTGTTTTAGTACTTAAATTTTGTTTTTTAAAACCATACCTAATATTTTGTTTAGGTTTCAATTTAGTATTATTTGTTAAAAAATTAACATAATTAATGATGTAATGTTTTTTTATTCTTTTAATAATGACGTGAATTTTCCTTATGATGACATATTAACATTATAATTAAGTTTTTAATGACGGGATACCAAAATGAAATCCAAACAAAAGATAAGGTTGGTATTAAAAAACAATAAAGTTTGGATACCAAAATCAAACAAAGGTAATAGTGTAGATACTAGTTTAATTAACAACTACTGACAAATAATTGTTGAAAAATAATAATTAATTCAGGAGTGCTCCACTTTGCTCGACGCCTCGACAGATTTTCCATTTCAGACACAAAAACTAAACTAGAAAACAAAACCGCCGTTCAGTTTCTGTTATCGCCGTCTTGTTCGATCTTTGACTCAGCCTCTGCTCTCTTCCCTTCTCTTTGAGATCTTCCTTTAAGGTAAAAATGGATTGAAAGTCTCTTCTTTCACACGCTACTTTTTTTGGTTCTTGCATTCTTCTAGACTCATCTTTTCGGATGCTCCGATCTGAAATCTCTATGTGTTTTTAGCTTAGAAATTCTGGATTTCCTTTAATATTTCCATTTTCGTAAGATTTGAGTATTGTTTTCGTCCCGGATCTCGCGTTCCATGATGAACTCAGCTAATCTTATGCCTGTTATTATTTTTGCTTCCTTGTTGTTTAAACTTGTTTTGGCTGCTGATTATGTTCCGACTGAGAAAATCCTTTTAAATTGTGGTGCGAAATCGGAGGTTTCCGATACCGATGACCGGAAATGGACTCCCGATAATGGGTCCAAGTTCTTGGTCGGGACCGGGAATTCCGTTGCTTCCCAAGCCGCCACGCAAGATCCCGCTGTCCCTGAAGTTCCTTACATGACAGCCCGTGTTTTTCGCTCTAACTTCACTTACAGTTTCCCGGTTGTGCCTGGTCGGAAATTTGTTCGGTTGTATTTCTATGCTAATACGTATGACGGTCGGAATGCATCCGATGCTTTGTTTTCGGTCAGCTGTGGTACTTACACTCTTCTCAAGAATTTCAGCGCTGCTCAAACGAGTGAAGCTTTGAATTATGCTTTCATTGTTAAGGAGTATTCGATCAATGTAGATGACGACCATTTGAACTTGACTTTCGGTCCATCTTCAACTCCGTCGAATGCGTATGCATTTGTCAATGGGATCGAAGTCGTGTCGATGCCTGATATTTATAGTACATCTGACGGGATTGCAGTTGTGGGCCAAAGTACTCCGTTCACCATCGATAACAGCACAGCGCTCGAGAATGTCTACAGGCTGAATGTTGGCGGAAATGATATCTCGCCTTCTGGTGATACGGGTCTGTTTAGGTCTTGGTATGATGACCAGCCATACCTGTTTGGAGCTGCATTTGGAGTTGCTGGAGCTGCCGATCCGAATGTCACTATCGATTACGGAACCACACCTACTTTTATTGCACCGAAGAATGTGTACGCCACTGCTAGATCCATGGGGCCGGATGCTGCGATAAACAATAATTACAATTTGACCTGGATGTTCAGTGTCGACTCCGGATTCTCATACATGGTTAGGTTACATTTCTGTGAGTTTACGGAGAACATCACTAAGGTTAATCAGAGAGTGTTCAATGTGTTCTTAAACAATCAAACGGCTGAGGCTGGGTTTGATGTGATTGCCATGGAAAATGAACAAGTTGGTGTTCCTCTGCATATGGATTATGTTGTTATTGTTCCTGGAGGAAATTCTCAGCAAGATCTTTGGCTTGCATTGCATCCGAACACGACTGACAAACCCCAGTATTATGATGCAATCTTAAATGGTGCGGAGATATTCAAGATAAGTGATCTGAATAGCAACCTCGCAGGGCCTAATCCGATCCCTGGTCCAAAACAGGATGTAATTGATCCATCACTGGCTTTGCCTTCTCATCAAGGTCACTCGAATCAGAAGGCAATCATAGCCGGGGGAGTAAGTGGTGGGGTGGTTCTAGCTCTCATTATTGGTTTCTGTGTTGTTTCTGTTTCTGTTTCGCGTCGTCGTAGGCACGGAAAGGATCCTAGCTCAAGTGATGGTCCGTCAGGATGGCTTCCTCTTTCATTGTACGGAAATTCGCACTCTGCTGGTTCAGCAAAGACAAATACCACTGGGAGCTATGTTTCCTCCCTCCCTTCGAACCTTTGCCGTCATTTCTCATTTGCGGATATCAAGGCTGCTACAAACAACTTCGATGATTCTTTAGTTCTTGGGGTGGGAGGTTTTGGCAAAGTTTATAAGGGAGAAATCGATGGAGGGATAACTAAAGTTGCAATAAAGCGCGGCAACCCACTATCCGAGCAGGGTGTGCATGAGTTCCAGACTGAGATTGAAATGCTTTCCAAACTCCGCCACCGTCACCTTGTTTCGTTGATTGGTTACTGTGAAGAGAACTGTGAAATGATCCTAGTTTATGATTATATGGCATACGGAACATTGCGCGAACATCTCTACAAAACCCAGAGGCCGCCTCTTCTGTGGAAGCAAAGGCTTGAGATATGCATCGGTGCTGCTCGTGGTTTACACTATCTTCACACCGGGGCTAAGCACACTATCATTCACCGGGATGTGAAGACGACCAACATTCTTCTGGATGAGAAGTGGGTAGCAAAAGTTTCTGATTTTGGATTGTCAAAAACCGGCCCGACATTAGATAATACTCATGTGAGTACCGTTGTCAAGGGTAGCTTTGGCTATTTGGACCCCGAGTATTTCAGGCGGCAGCAGCTAACCGATAAATCTGATGTTTACTCATTTGGGGTTGTCCTCTTTGAGATCCTTTGTGCACGTCCAGCGTTGAATCCTACGCTGCCTAAGGAGCAAGTGAGCCTTGCGGAGTGGGCTGCACACTGTCACAAGAAAGGCATCCTTGATCAGATAATGGATCCATATCTGAAAGGGAAGATAGCACCGGAATGCTTCAAAAAGTTTGGCGAGACTGCAATGAAGTGCGTGGCTGATCACGGAATCGACAGGCCATCCATGGGTGATGTGCTTTGGAACCTGGAGTTTGCTTTGCAGCTGCAGGAGAGTGCCGAAGAGAGCGGAAAGGGAATCGGTGAGATCGGCATCAAGGATGGCGCTTACGATGAAACCTGCACGGGCAAGAAAGATCCTAATGCATCCCCTGGTCTTGATATCAATGCAATGGATTCGAGGAGCAGCGGCATGAGCATGAGCATCGGCGGTCGCAGCCTAGCTAGTGAAGACTCCGATGGGTTGACACCAAGTGCAGTTTTCTCACAGATCATGAACCCGAAAGGGCGTTGAGATGAGCCGATCCGATACACGCAACTGCTATTGTAAGTTACTTAGATCATGGAATCAAAATTCGGCTTTCGTTGTTGTTGTACTCAGTTACTTAATAGTAATATACATACATAGATTTATTTACATCTTAAACTGGACACGTTCTGATGAAACAAGCAATCAAGTTGTAGGTCTGAAAGAGTGTAAAATAATGGGTTGAAGCGACATTTGCATTTACCTATTACTGTGTATTTTGTGTTCATTTCATGAGATATATATATATATATTATTATCGTTGATGCATGAGAAGGAAGGAAACAATGTTTTACTTGTTTAATTGTGGAACAAATAGATTTGCCGAGATGTTTTATTATTATTATTATTATTCTTAAATTGCAGAGAATGAATACTTGAACCAGCTGTCAAAGAGTGGGAATGGTCACTTACATCATTGGAATTAATTGATAACTGAATATTTAAAAAATATTTTCCGATCAAACTAATTCGGTGGTCAATTAGTTCGTTTTCTTCAACTTTTTTCCCTTTCATTGAGTGAGAAAATTTGCTTTCTTTTAAATCCCTTTAAATAAGTGAAACTCAACCCTAATTCTGAAAAGTTAAATGCTAAGCTACCATTTTAGGCTTCAAGATTAGTAAGAATTTATCAAACTTTGAGTCTATTGCCTTTTTTTCGTTATTTGTTAACATAATAATCCATCAAGTTATCTATTAATTGTTAGCCTTAATTTTTTTATTTTTTATTGTGGTTTAAAGTTAAAATTGAAATCAAAACCTTTATTTTTCTATTAAATTATTCCATCGTCAGACATTAGGAGTATATTTTAACATCGTGCCTTTATAAAGATGAAATTGATAAATTATTGAATATTTTATATCTTAAAAAATTAAGAAATATTATTATAATAATTTGTAAATTGTGATGGAGGAGAAAAATACCAATTACCCTTCATTTTTGGTATACAACAAACTGAAAAAGGGAGGAATAAATTTAGTTCATGTTCTTCAAAACATTTTCCCTTCACGGAGTCAGAAACGTTACTTTCTTTTTAATCCCTTTTCAAGCCTAATTCTAAAAAATGTTAAGTTTTAAGCTTTCACTTAAAGGGGAAGTTGTGCTCTACCGCAGCTTAATTTAAAGTTAAAGAAATGGGCGATCGAAAATATTATAAAAAATGTAATATTTTCAGTTTGACGTAACCTAAAATATTAATTATTTAACATTTCCTAAAATATTACAAAAAAGGCTTGCAACTGAAAAAAATTAAAAAAAATTAACATTTTAAATTACGTTTATCATCTTTTTCTTTAACCTTAAATTAGATTTACTGTTGTTAGACTCTCTCCGCTTAAAGTTAATTTTCTTTTTGTGGAAAAATCTGATGCTAGGGGATTTAGGGCACAATTGAGTCAGTTTTACTGTTATGTTTCTTATCTCTTTTCACATTTTTCGAGGAGGATTTTCCAATTTTGGTGTAGTTGTGCTCAAGGTGAGATTAGTTTGGTTCGATTTGATGATCTAAACCTTTATTTTTTTAAAATCATACATGATAATTCAAATTAATTCGAACACGAATTAAACGATTTCAATGATAAATAAATTATTGTTATTCCTTAAGGTTTCGGGTTCAAACATTAGGAATGTCAAGGTATGAACATTCAATGTCAAATAATTAAGAGTCATCTTCAAACATATATTGTATTGTATTTATTCTATATTAATAAAAAATTTGTTTGATTCACTATTTTTCAATTCATATAAGCTTTGAATTATGAATTTTTGAAATTTATTTTAACAAAATATATTTTCTCTATGATCATGTATACTGTTTGGTAACATTTTAAAATATTTTTCATAAATATTTATAATTTTTTTTTAAGTAAATAAAAATATTTGAAATTTATTTTCCTGTTTGATATATAAAAATACTAATCTTTATATTAATAAAAAAACAATTTGGTTGTTGTTTTTATTTATGAATCATAATTTTTCCAAATATGATTATTTAATTTAATTTTTTTTTTTACTTGACTTTAATTGTGGCCTTTACAATAGGTAGGTTGATGGTTAGGGTGAGATCGGTTTGGTTCAATCTAAATTTTCTTAGTTTCTTAAACCATCCCAATTTTAATTTGATTTGATTTTTTATTTTTGTAATTTTTTTAGGTAAAGAAAAACTAACAACACGTTCACCCAAAAAAAAAACCAACAACGAGATTCAAGCACCCGAAGAACTCAACAAATCATTTTGGATCAGCATGGTCACCTCCCCCGGAGCAACAAGAAATGTGATGTACTCATAACTATCCCTAACGAACAATTTTGTCGTACCGTCCGCAACTCGAATCCTCAAACACAGAACATGTTGGAAGCGCACCTCCCAAGCCTTATATAACAGCACCGCAATGTGGTCCAAGATTGAAGTCCTATTGTGACCACCTGTAGCAGCTTGGATCATCTTCAATATCTCAACGTGGTCAACCTCCACGATAAACTCGGAGATACCCCAAATCCAAAGCACATAACAAACCTACGTAGGCTTCCAGATATCATCTTTAATAGCATAACATATATCGATGAATTTAGCGAAACCCATTCTCCAAACACCCTCATGGTTTCGAATAACACCACCACATAAAGAGATATTGGAGTTATGATGATGAGCCCCATCAGAATTTGTAACACCCCAATTTAGGGGTTAAATTTTAGAAATTATAAAGTATTAAATTTAATTGGTATTTTGACCATTTTTCTTTAGGGGGAAATATAAAACCCTATTCCCGTATGTTTTTTGGAAAAAAATTTCAGTTTTCCTCCCCCTTCAACCCTCCTTTCAACTCTAATCTACTCGCCGTCCGACCTCCGATCGACGAACCGAAACCACCATCGTGTTCGTCGTCGACCGAAGAACAAAACCCCTCAAACCTTTCGTTATGAATCATCGTCGTTCGTCGTTAATTTTAGTTGGAAGTATCGTCGGTTTTAACTCAATTTCAGTTGGTTTTTCGTCGATTCACGACGATCCGACCATCCGTTTTTGACACCTCCCGCACCATCGTGTTTCTTGCACCGTTCTGAGTCCGCCGGTGTCCTCCATTTCTCCGTCGTCGCCGGTGCCGGCGCTTGGAGGGGTGAGAAAGTCAAAGTTTTCGATGTTTCGGAATCGAGCTCTCCGCCGTTCAAAATTGTGAACCGAGCTTGGTAAGTGCCTCAAAATGCCTTAAAATAATTATTAGGAATTTTTCGACACCGTATGATTGTGCACACGCCGCCACTGCGCGTAGGGGGTGTTAGTTTTGTAATTAATTTCTGTTAAGGTGATATTTGTGTAAACTTCAGGTGTTAGTTTTGTAAATATTTGTAGAATGTGGCTAATTTTGTAATTAATTTTCGTTAGGGTGATATTTGTGTAAAACGGTCGACTGTTGACATGCGTTGACCGTTGACCGTTGACCGGCGTTGACCACTGTTGACCAGAACTTTGACCGGCGTTGACCAGGCGTTGAATGACCTTTGACTTTGACCGGGTATATCTATCCTGATTTTTTTCGATGTTCTGAGTCCGATTCCGCTGTCCGTTTTTTGAAATTCGGACCCGAAGGCCTCAAAATTTTCAGTCAAACCCGTTGACTTTGACCGAAAAGTTAAAATATTTGAAAAGTCATATTATATGTTTTTGACGTCTTGAATCCGTTTTTGGGGTCTGTTTTGCCAAACTCGAACCCGATAAGCTATTTTTGACTGATTTATTATCCGATTCGATCTGTTTTTCGAAATTAAGTTTCATTTTTTATGTAATTTCTGTTGATATGGATCCGAGGAAATATTGGAAGTTGAATTAAAGATCAAAGGCGTTCGAATGGAATTTATATGGTCGATCAGTATAACACGGAAATCGAGGTAATACTTTACTACCTCTTTATGCTTTATGGAACATGTGAATATTGGTAAATGCATAATTAAGATAATGTTGGTCTCATTTGTGTAGTTAATTAATTTTTACACTCGATCTGAATACGGTAAAAAGGTTCAGTAATTGATTATGGTTCAGATGACTTTTATAAAAAATTGAGGGATTGTTAGAATTAAATTACAAGTTTTGTGCTCAGTGATAAAGAAATCAACCTGGATCTGTAACTTATAATTTATTTCATCAAAGGTTAAATGTTAAAGATACTTGGATGAGAAATTATGAGAAGACTCCAGTAGGGTAAAATTACAAAAATACCCTTATGTTATAAAAAGACAAGATTTGACTATAGAAGTTGGATAATAGGTTTTTAAAGATATATTGATCTGATAAAACTACCGATGTGCATAAGAAATGCTAGTTTTTCTTAGAAAATATAGATAACCTGATTTTAACCCAAGAGGATTTGAGCAATAATCTAGGAGTCTATTAAGCGAATCATTTCAAGATCAGAGAATGTTCGAGAAAGCAATTAATCATAGGATCTCTAAATTATATTATTTTTTATTAAGAGTTAATACCAAAATTATCTGATTAAGAAATTACGAAAATGCCCTTGAGAGGTCAAATAGTCCGAGTTGACCCTGAATGAGAAAGTACTTTTAGGATTTGTACTTAACTCGATTAAGTACGAATTTGATTGTTAAGATCCTAACTTAGTGTAGAAAAATTCTTGATATTCTGTTTGTAAAATCTGAGAAGGCACTTGACCCGAAAATATCCGAGTTATGAGTAAATACCTGAAGAACAATTTATCGAGGGTATTCTTTTGTTAGAATTATTCGAATGGACTGAAATAAATGATAAGCTTGAATTTAATAATAAGATCTGATGAAAAGAAAGGATTGAAATACACTGGATCTGTAAAATGACCAGAATACCCCTATAATGGAAATGACCCAAGAATATCACCAAGCTCATGAATGATGAGATATCCTCGAGCTCTGTAATGATTGGAATAAAACTGAACACCAAAATAACCAAAATACCCTTATGGCCTTACTAAATAATGTCTTGGATTAATTAAGGAATCCAAATAAGCATAGGTTTTGGACTACCTTTAAAAGTTATGGAACACAACTTAAGTGAGCCGATCAACCTTAATGATAAGTTAGTACTTGAACGACATAGATATTACTTGAATGCATGTTCGTCTTCTCAAGTTTGGCTCGATTATAATTTTGGAAGTATACAGCTAAACTCTAGATCGCATTCAGTACTAAGAATTGGATATTTGTTCGATAAATCAA